AATACCTCTCATGGTCATATATATATACATGCACGTACATGACTAGAGTAGATGGATGATATATATTTTTAGTTGCTTACATATTACACGCGGCAAAAATCAATAGTAGCTACGTATGTGTAGTACGAGTAGTATTATGTTATACTACGAGTACTATTATGTAATTGGTCAGAGTTATATTCCTAATCAGAGTCGTATTAGTATTAGGGTTATTATAGAAGTCAGTCTTTGTACTCTATATAAACCCCATGTGGTGTTAGTAATAATACACAACAGTTTCCACCATATTCTAACATAGACAAGGACTTTGGCTCCCCCCAAGGATAAACTTCAACTCTGGCATCCGGGTATGAACAAAGGCGTACATCCTTTATTTATGCCGTACAAGGTAGGAGGACCTATTGTAGAGGGAGAAGGTTGTGAAGGTGGCCTCGTTATCCACACCCCCGGTCGGATGAATGGAGGGAAGTTGTCTTGATCGATCCAACAAGGCCAAGTTCGGAACTGGGAGTAGCTCACACTAAGGTAGAGGAGGTGCCAATTGCCAGTCCTCTACCACCGGTTATAAGACCCAGATCTCGTCAACTTAGTCGCCCGGCGCTGCTATTAGCATAACCTTTATAACTGGTGGTTAGACCGGGTGAATTCGTTAAGATAGCGATTTATCTATAGCTGTTCCAGAAGATTTTTTTGAGGGGATCCCTCTCTTTTTGCTTCCTTGTCCTACTTAACCGCTAAAGGATAGTCTTTTTCCCTTCCTTGATCAATAAATTGCAAGCTCTTGCTTCTAATATGGTGGAAACTGTTGTGTATTATTACTAACACCACATGGGGTTTATATAGAGTACAAAGACTGACTTCTATAATAACCCTAACACTAATACAACTCTGATTAGGAATATAACTCTGACCAATTACATAACAGTGCTCGTAGTATAACATAATACTACTCGTACTACACATACTCTAATACACGTAGGGACTCGTTTGTTAAAACTTAAAACAAACATAGTACACACATTACAAGTACCATTAAAGAAAAACAGAAGCCAAACGCGCCATATGTATCATTATCATTACCATTAATTTTTTACGGAGTAGCCGAGCCTCAAAGCATATCTAACGAGATGATCGAGTTCGTTAATGACGTCCACTTTCCCGTCGCCGTCGGCATCCGCGAGGCCGAGGCCGCGGCGGGCCCTGTAACCTGGGATGACGGCGCCCAGGCTGTTGAATGCTCTCTTGAGCTCTTCCTTGCAAAGCTGCTTGTCTTTGTTGACGTCGAACTGCGTGAAGAACTGACGGAGCTCGGCTTCCGTTGCAGGAGGCAAGGGAGGATTTTTGCCAGTGATATGGAAGTTTATGGCGACGTTATCCAATAAGTGGATGTGAACAGCCATAGGGGAATGAAGGATATATTTGTAGCTTGTGGTGTGGGGGGAATAGCCGTGTGCAAAAGGTATTTATAGGTGGGGAAAAGTGATTTTGTAAGAAAGAGCATAGTTAATATTTTTCTATTTGTTTGATTCAAGTCTATCGTGTAGTTTTAAGAAGAAGAAAAATCGAACTCATTAATTTTTTTATAGCTTCACCTCAAATGATAGAAGGGGATAAGACCACGGGTTGTGCCCATGCCTCTATTTTATTGTGGTATCAAGAAAAGAAAAGATGATTCGAGTTTATCGTCCAATACTTACTATAATAATAAAATATGAGAGGGTTAAGAACAAAACTATAATCTCCATTTATTTATTAGATTTGGTATGAATGATCCACAATTTATATATAGGAACAAGGAGGGTGGATTGATAAATTTTGCAAGTTATTATTTTCTTTGACTCACACGAAATTGAGTAATCACGGTAGCTACTAAAATCTACATCCTTCATTATCTCTATTTCACCCGAATTTTGATATGAAGGTGAGGATTAGATTAAGGGTAATTTTGAGAATAAAAAAAATTTCACACCTGATTTTTATCCTTTAAAAAATTAATTTATATGTATTATATACCTAAACCCTACTCCATCCTCATTCTCTATCGGTGATTCCCTTCCTCCGCTGGCGGCCACCCTCCCAAAGCCAGCCACCCTCGGCCAACCTCCTACTGCCGGCGGCCACCCACCACTCCGGCTACCCTCGCCAACCGTTGCGGGCACCCTCTCTCTCTCTCTCTCTCTCTCTCTCTCTCTCTCTCTCTCTCTCTCTCTCTCTCTCTCTCTCTCTGCCCTCTCTCTTTGGGAGACGATTGTGGCCGAAAAAGGTGGGATGAATAAAAAATCTAGATCTGATTTTCCCCCGCATTGGTAGTGATTTTTTCGCAGTGGTAATGTTTTTTCGCATTGGTATTGCTTTTTTACGCATTGGTAGTGATTTTTTCGTAGTGTTTGTGTTTTTCGCATTGGTATTATTTTTTCCGCATTGGTAGTGATTATCATATAAGCATATTATTTTTTTGTGAAATGGTAGTGTTATTTTTCTGTAGTGGTAGTATTTTCGCATTGGTTTTTTTTTTTTTTGCATTGGTATTGATTATCATGTAATGGTATTTATTTGCATGTAGTAATATTGATTAAATCTGCAATAGTATTGGTATTTTGTGAAATATAATTTGTTAAAAAAGGTAATTAATAAATTTTGTGTTATACCCAATTTGCCCTTAGTAACCACGGTGATTGCTATTTCACAGTAATCACCGTAACCTGTCCCATCAAGAAAAGAAAAGATGATTCAAGTTTATTGTCCAATACTTACTACAATAATAAAATATGAGAGTGTTAAGTACAAAACTATAATCTCCATTTATTTATTAGATTTGGTATGAATGATCCACAATTTATATAGGAACAAGGAGGGTGGATTGATAAATTTTGCAAGTTCTTATTTTCTTTGACTCACACGAAATTCAGAAAAAAAAGGATACTTTTAAACAATCACACCTTACTTTTTATAATTCAATTTTTTTTTAATTGGGTTAGAAAAAATGTATTAACTATGATATATATTTCGTACCGAGCAAAAACCAAAAAACCCTTCAAAATAATTACATTGGCTGTAACCAAATCAGTGTCATATATCACCTCTTCCTCTTTGTAGGAGTTCATTACACACATCATGATTTTACCATGGTAATAATATCATGATATACAGTAGTATATTTACATATCTTTTTCGCTTTAACTTAAAATCTAGAAAATTTTATATGAGAAAGAACTCATTAAGTATGATCTATATAATGATATCTATTTTTTTATATTTTGAATAAGAAAGTAAGAATAGTTAAGAAATATTTTTCTATTCTTCTTTTCAAGTCTTCCGGAGTTCGATTATGACAAACGGTTTAATAAGGGGTCGTTTGGAAGTTGCGATAGTTTTGTTGAGATTGTCATTATGCATGTATTGTTTACAATGCATCGTTTTTTTGTTTTTTTAACAGAAACAATACATGGATTGTTTCTGTGCTGTGACAGAAACTATCACTCATTTTGAGTGATTGTTATATCTCAACTTTTAGTTGTGATTGTTGAGATAGTTGAGTTGAGATTGTTTTGTCTCAGCTTTTAGCTGATGCGACATACACAATCACACATACCAAACGTTGTATTCTACAATGCATCAAATTCGACAATACATGTATAATATTATACATGCATTCTCAACAATACATCTATTTAACAATCGCAACTTCCAAACGACCCCTAAGAGTATTTTTATAAAAGTAGTGTCCGGTCTAACCAGTTATTACATATGATTATCCCACCCTCGCCTAGGGATGGCAATTTGAACCCACCCCGCCGGGTAATACCCGACCTGACCCGCAATGGGGCGGGTATTACCCGACCCGCATTAGCATGGGGCGAGGCATGGGTATCAACTTCCGCCCCGCCCTGCCCCGACCCGCCCCATTTTTAGCCCGTTCTAGGTCAATTTTTTACCCCATCCATTCATATATCTCCTATTTTGGTTTTTATTCAACTAGTTAGACTTGATCTTTCAACTAAATAGACTCAATTACTTATTATATTATCACTATTATTCATTCATCAAGTCTTTTCCCCTTCGTTTTATCATAAAAAGTAAAATTGTGTGTGTATTTTTCTCAAATAGCATGTAAGAGTGGGTCGACCCGCCCTGCCCTGTACCCGCGCGGGTATTACCCGCCCCGACTCGTACTAGCATGAGGTGGGGCATGGGTATTGAAGTACCCGCCCCGACCCATTGCCATCACTACCCTCGCCTGTACTCAAAGTAAACAAAAAAATATTATCCCTCGAACACACTTAAAACCATCAACTACGCATTCGTACATGGGCATAAACCCTCATCCTGTTGTATGCATGGAGTCATAATCCCAAAATTGAAGCAACCGAACTACACAATTATATCAATTATTATCTTTTGGGTTAATAGCATTTTGTACCCTTTTAATATTAAAACATAACAAGTTTACCCTTTTATCTAATTCTCTGTTAATTTGCAATATTAAAGTGATACAAAATGCTATTGACATTTTTTTTAGTTCAAAATCAACGAGCAATGCTGTAGTTATTTTGCTAGAAACACGATATATAGAGACACAATGAGCTCTCTAGAAACAAAAATCGTGTGCCCCGCATCAATCTAACAACAACAATGATTTAAGGTGAGATCGTGAGGATTATATAAAAGAGGGAAGGGGAGGCTATGTGGCAATGGGTGAGTTCCACGGGTCATTTCATATTGAGGGATTTCCTTGGGTTGAAGACTAGCTGGCCGGCCCAAGGATTAGTGCATTCAATGCTCTACTTTAGTTAAACTGAAAGAAAATATGGGCCCATGGAGAATGGGCTATACCCAGGCCCGGATCTGGAGATACTACTAGGTTGAAAAGGAAGGGGGGAAAAGCACATTCTAATCCTCAATTCATCACCAGCCTGTCTGGTAAAAACTTAAACTCCATAGAAACGTCAGAAGGCTACTTTACTTGGTTCATCACATTCACATGGATACCAAGAGAAGAGAGCAGCAAGATATGATGATGGATAGTTGTATAACATATATAACTGCCAATCAAGCTGTCTTTGATTGAAGCAATCTTCCTGCGTAGCCAGGCTAAAAAAGACTGGATCGCTTAATCTTCCACGTCACCAAACTCTGAAGACTAGGCAAAAGTACAGGTTCCATGTCAATCAACCACCAGGCTAAAAAAAAAAAGACTCTGCTTATGTAAACTAGCATGTCGCGAACTCTAAGACTAGCCGAAAGCAATCGGTACAGGTTCCAACAAGTTAGCCGTCGAGAGTTAGCATTGTAAACACTGATGGAGTCCAACATGAATAGCGGACGACCAATACTTTACATTGTAAACACTGATCCAACTAACAGATCAATTACCTCCATTTTCCTCGCAACATCTCCTGGGCTCCCCGCCTGCTAAGATAAAAGTACATCACACAGTCAAATCTCAACACAGGAGTTTCAAAGTAAGCACCAAAACAAATAGGAGATCATCAAAATGTCTCATCCAACTGAACTGGTAAAAAAACTATCACAAAACACGTATGCTCAATAGATCATGTATCCTACAAGTTATTCCAATTATTATCCCTGGCTACACAGTCATTCAAGAGTTCAGTTGGCATCTCCTAAGATGGATTTTTCACTTTATTCTTTGCACTAATTATCTCAAAGCTGGTATTGAGTCATATACTCCCCAATCACAACACACAAACACAAGGTGACTCAAATACAGCAACTAAAACCTAACACATGGACATAACCATTAGTCGGTGCTTAACTGAAGACCGATCAAGAACAAAAAGACGAGCATATGCATGCATCAGTAAACAACGATCATAAAGGACTGAAAATGTCTAATCTTCAGAGTGAAGCTCTTCCAAGGGATTCGATTCATAGCATTATATTATGAGGTAGGCCTCTTGATGCCCTCAAAACCTTTGCAAGTTCCTTGTCCATGTCTTCCTACATTAGACGAGGCACAAATTACTGAATCTTTCAACTAATAGCTTAAACCTTGTTAGAGTATGCCTAGTGAGCAAACGACTCATTCAAGGACAACAAAAGATGTTTGACATCATATCAGTCGGCTGCAACTAAAGAGGAAAAGCTAACTAATGATGCTTGGAACTGATGAGGGAAAGCTAAATAATAGTGATGCAAGCAACATACGTGGAAAAACATAACTCCGTCAAACCCATTCCTTATGTCAGAAGCTTTCAGCTGGTAAACATAAGATTGATCTTCATCATTAGTGACTCAGATGACTCAGAGGCACAAGTTAACTTCTTAAATGTTATCTATAATTTCCACAACTTACAAAGCAAGGAATATGTTTCTTAACCACCAATAGGATAAAAAGTACAAGGGCATATTGCTTCTCAACTCAAAATATACTCGAGCAGAAACAAACTTAATATGAGCCTTCTATTCCTCAGTAGTCGCAACATCAGCATGATGGCATGATAGACTTAGGGAATATGAGAGCATGGTAAAAGAACACTCAATTCACAATGATCAAATGAGGCAATTGCATGGACAACTAAGCGCAGAATCATGGACATAGAGAAAGCTTATTCGACTTTGTTGATGCATACTTTCGCCGAAGGAATACTTCCACCACAACTGCAAAATTAACCAAAACAAACCTCTTCTTTATTTGCACAGGATCGGGCAAAAATCTGAATGCAATGCCTTCGACCTTCAGCATGGATACCTTCAAAATGTACAATCAGAAGCTTAAACGGCCGATTTCCATGGCAATTCCAAGTTCATAATTTCAAGTCCCGAAATATGCAGCAAATATGGCTATGTACCTGTTCAAAAGTAATAGGCACCAGTTTCGCCGCACTTCGCTGTTCCTTTCGCCACAGTTGCACCTTCACACAGTAATAAGCACACGGTATAATTAAGCCACCATAAACACGAAAACCACACGATACTAAGCACAATACAATACTGAATACTAACAAACGATACTGTACACTGATTCAACTAACAAAACCATTACCTCCATTTTCCTCAGCACATCTTCTAGGCTTCCCACCTGCTGAGATAAAAGAACATTACATGTAGTGGGGTACCCCTCACAGTCAAATCTCAACACAGAAGGAGTTTCATCAAAATGTCATATCCAACTGAACGGGTAAAAAAACTATCACAAAACCCGTATCCTCAATAGAGAGCACTGAATCCTACATGTTATTGCTATTATTATCCCTGGCCAGCCAGTCATTCAAGAGTTCAATTTAGTTGGCATTACCTAACATGGATTTTTCACCTTATTCTTTGCACTAAATATCTCAAAGCTGGTAGAGCCATATATTCCTCAATCATAACACACAGACTCGAATACAGCAACGAAAACCTAAGACATGGACATAACCATTAGTTGGCGCTTAACTCAAGACCGATCAAGAACAAAAGGACGATCATGCATGTATCAGTAAGCAACGATCACAAAGCACTGGAAATGTCTAATCTTTAGTCAAACTCTTCCAAGGGATTCCATTCATACCATTATATTGCGAAGCACACCTCTTGATGCCCTGGAAACCTTCGCCAATTCCTTGTCTATTTCTTCCTACATTGCACGAGGCACAAGTTATTGGATCTGTCAACTAAGCTTGAAACTTGCTAGAGTATGCCTAGTGAGCAAACAGCTTATTAAAGGATATCAGAGGTTGGAATACCTTTTGGAAATATATAGGGCAGAACCGCATGTTTTTGTTCTTCACTACCAAAAGGTCTGACTGTATAAGAGGGATCATGAAACAACATTAATCAGGTATAGTTCAGGTCACAGTAAAGCTCATGGAAGAGACAGACTATGAAGTACTACGTTCCCCGTCTCTTTGCTTGTGCAGGAAAAAAAACAGATCATCATTCAGTAAATAACGTGGTTTTATGCCCAACTATAGTGTTTTTGACATGCATGAAATTATTGTGAAGACACTTGGTCAATATGTTCCGCATACTGTGCATCACTAGAAAACATGGTCTTCATTCAGTACACAGATTCTTCAAGGATTATAGTGAACCACTACATCAAAAGCAGTGTAAGGAATGAAGCTGACATTGATGTTCATGTTTGTACAAGTTGACAGAGTGATTTGAGCATTGGTGTTTTCCACGGCAAAAGTGAAATGCACTAGTTCATATATTTCACACCTGTACTACTTTCACCGAGTTATATCACTTTAGCTTAGAGTTAGCAAAACTCGATTTGCAGCAGAACACAAATGAGGAATATGCTCACGTACTTCATTATTCTGAGAGGTTCCAAACATTGGCAAGAATTCCACTTGACAGGATATACAAAATTTGTTTACCAAGTACACAAAACTTATAATAGTTATATCTAGTGACAACATAAAGTAACTTCTATTCCTCAGTAGTCGCAGCTTCAGCATGATGGCAAGATAGATTTGGGGAATATAAGAGCATGGTAAAAGAACACTCAAATCATAATGATCAAAGGAGGAAATTGTGGACAACTAAGAGCAGAATCATTGACATAGAGAAAGCTTTTTCGATTTCGTTGATGCATACTTTCGCGTAAGGAATACTTCCACCACAACTGCAAGATCTACAAAAACTAACCTCCAATGTGTTCTTTATCTGGAAGGGATCTGGCAAAAATCTGAATGCAATGCCTTCGACTTTCAGCATGTAGACCTACAAAATGTACAATCAGAAGCTTAAACAACCAATTTCCAATACAGTGAAACATTTTCTTCATATTCAAGACTAACAGCATTTCGAAGTTCACAATTTCAAGTCCATAATATGCAGCAAACATGGCTCTATGCCTGTTCAAGAGTAATAGGCACCACTTTTGCCACACTCCGCAATTGCACCTTCACACAGGACAAAATCAAATTAGAATGGCACAAGGTATAATTAAGTCGCCATAAGCACGAAAAGCACACGATACTAAGCACAATACAATACTGCATACTAAACACACGATACTGTAAACTGATTCAACTAACAAAACCATTACCTCCATTTTCCTCAGGACATCTTCTAGGCTTCCCGCCTGCTGAGATAAAAGAACATTATAAGTAGTGGGGTACCCATCACAGTCAAATCTCAACACAGGAGTTTCGCCAAAATGTCATATCCAACTGAACGGGTAAAAAAACTATCACAAAACCAGTATCCTGAATAGAGAGCACTGAATCCTACATATTATTGCTATTATTATCCCTAGCTAGCCAGTCATTCAAGAGTTCAATTTAGTTGGCATTTCCTAACATGGATTTTTCACCTCATTCTTTGCACTAAATATGGCAAAGCTGGTAGAGTCATACACACCCCAATCATAACACACAGACTCGAATACAGCAACTAAAACCTAACACATGGGCATAACCATTAGTTGGTGCTTAACTGAAGACCTATAAAGAACAAAAGGACGATAATGCATGTATCAGTAAATAACTATCACAAAGCACTGGAAATGTCTAATCTTTAGATTCAAACTCTTCCAAGGGATTCCATTCATACCGTTATATTGTAAGGCACGCCTCTTGATACCCTGGAAACCTTTGCCAGTTCCTTGTCTATGTCTTCCTACATTACACGAGGCACAAATTATTGGATCTGTCAACTAATAGCCTGAATCTTGCGAGAGTATGCCTAGTGAGCAAACAGCAAAGGATATCAGAGGTTGGAATACCTTTTGGAAATATATAGGGCAGAACCGCCTGTTCTTGTTCTTCACTGCCAAAAGGTCTGACTGAATAAGAGAGATCATGAAACAGCATTAATCAGGTATAATTCAGGTCACAGTAATGCTCATGGAAGAGACAGACTATGAAGTACTAAGTTCCCCCTCTCTTTCCTTGTGCAGAAAAACAAACAGATCACCATTCAGCAAATCAAGTGACTTTATGCCCAACGATAATGTTTTTGACATGCATAAAATTGTTGTGAAGACACTTTGTCAATATGTTCCGCATACTGGGTATCACTAGAAAACATGGTTTTCATTCAGTAGACAGATTCTTCAAGGATTATAGTGAACCACTACATCGAAAGCAGTGTAAGGAATGACGCTGACACTGATTTTCATGTTTGTACAAGTGGACAGAGTGTTTTGAGCACTGGTGTTTTCCACGGCAGAACTGAAATGCAGTAGTTCATATATTTCACAGGAGGGCTACTTTTACCGAGTTATATCACTTTAACTTAGAGTTAGTAAAACTCGATTTGCAGCAGAACACAAATGAGGAATATGCTCACGTACGTCATTATTCTGAGTTTCCAAATATTGGCAAGAATTCCACTTGACAGGATATAAAATATTTGTTGACCAAGCACAAAGAACTTATAACAGTTATATCTAGTGACAACATAAAGTAACTGGAACTAGTTGTCCAAGCGAAGGGTGAGATATTCAGCAGAAGCAAACTTAATATGAGCCTTCTATTCCTCATTAGTCGCAGCTTCAGCATGATGGCGTGATAGAATTGGGGAATAAATAGCATGGTAAAAGAACACTCTAAACACAGTGATCAAATGAAGAAATTGCATGAACAACTAAGCGCAAAAGTGTTGACATAGGGAAAGTTATTTCGACTTCATTGATGCATATTTTCGCGTAAGGAATACTTCCACCGCAACTGCAAAATCTAAAAAAACAAACCTCCATATCAGTTCTTTATTTGGACGGGATCTGGCAAAAATCTGAATGCAATGCCTTCGACCTTCAGCATGTAGACCTACAATAAGTACAATCAGAAGCTTAAACGGCCGATTTCAAGGCAGTGGATAGTTTTCCTCATATCCAAGATTAACAGCATTTCCAAGTTCATAATTTCAAGTCCAGAAATATGCGGCTAACATGGCTCTGTACCTATTCAAGAGTAATAGGCACAACTTTCGCCGCACTTCGCAGTTCCTTTCGCGACAGTCGCACCTTCAACAGTAATAAGGACAAGGTAATTAAGTCACCATAAGCACGAAAAGCACAAGACACTAAGCACAATACAATACAATACTGAATACTAAGTACACGATACTATACACTCATCCAACTAACAAAACTATTACCTCCATTTTCCTCAGAACATCTTCTAGGCTTCCCACCTGCTGAGATAAAAGAATATTACATTTAGTGGGGTACCCCGTACCCCTCACAGTCAAATCTCAGCACAGAAGGAGTTTCAAAGTAACCACCAAAAGAAGAGATTTCGGTTTGAAAACAAATAGGAGATCATCAAATGTCATATCCAACTGAACGGTTAAGAAAACTATCACAAAACATGTATCCTCAATAGAAAGCACTGAATCCTACATGTTATTGCTCTTATTATCCCTGGTTAGCCAGTCATTCAAGAGTTCAATTTAGTTGGCATTTCCGAACAAGGATTTTTCACCTTATTCTTTGCACTAAATATCTCGACGCTAGTAGAGCCATATACTCCCCAATCATAACACACAGACTCGAATACAGTAACTAAAACCTAACACATGGACATAACCATTAGTTGGTGCTTAAATGAAGACCGATCGAGAACAAAAGGATGATCATATGAATGTATCACTAAACAACGATCACAAAGCACTGGAAATTCTAATCATCAGAGTCAAACTCTTCGAAGGGATTTCATTCATACCATTATATCCTGAGGCACGCCTCTTGATGCCCTGGAAACCTTTGCCAGTTCCTTGTCTATGTCTTCCTACAGTACACACGGAAAAAATTATTGGATCTGTCAACTAATAGCTTGAATCTTGCTAGAGTATGCTTAGTTATCAAACAGCTTATTAAAGGATGTCAGAGGTTGGAATAACTTTCGGAAATATACAGGGCAGAACCGCCTGTTTTAGTTCTTCACTACCAAAAGGCCTGACTGAATAAGAGGGATCATGAAACAGCATAATCAGGTATAATTCAGGTCACAGTAATGCTCATGGAAGAGACAGACTATGAAGTACTAAGTCCCCCCTCTCTTTCCTTGTGCAGGAAAACAAACAGATCATCATACAGTAAATAAATTAGCTTTATGCACAATATAATGTTGTTGACATGCATGAAATTGTTGTGAAGACACTTTGTCAATATGTTCCGCATACTTTGCATCACTAGAAAACATGGTTTTCATTCAGTATACAGATTCTTCAAGGATTATAGAGAACCGCTACATCGAAAGCAGTGTAAGGAATGAAGCTGACACTGATTTTCATGTTTGTACAAGTGGACAGAGTGTTTTGAGCACTGGTGTTTTCCACGGCAAAACTGAAATGCAGTAGTTCATATATTTCACACGAGGACTACTTTCTCCGAGTTATATCACTTTAGCTTAGTGTTAGCAAAACTCGATTTGCAGCAGAACACAAATGAGGAATATGGTCACGTACGTCATTATTCTGAGAGGTTCCAAAAATTGGCAAGAATTCCATTTGACAGGATATAAAATATTTGTTTACCAAGCACACAAAACTTATCACAGTTATATCTAGTGACAACATAAAGTAACTTCTATCCCTCAGAATTCTCAGCCTCAAAATGATGGCGAGATAGACTTGGGGAATATAAGAGCATGGTAAAAGAACACTCAAATCACAATGATCAAATGAGAAAATTGCGTGGACAACTAAGCGCAGAATCATTAACATAGAGAAAGCTTTTTCGAATTAGTTGATGCATACTTTCGCTTAAGGAATACTTCTACCACAACTTCAAAATCTACAAAAACTAACCTCTAATGTGTTCTTTATTTTTGACGGGATCTGGCAAAAAACTGAATGCAATGCCTTCGACCTATAGCATGTAGGCATACAAAATGTAAAATCAGAAGGTTAAACGACCAATTTCCAAGGCAGTGAAACATTTTCCTCATATTCAAGACTAACAGCATTTCCAAGTTCACAATTTCAAGTCCAGAAATATGCAGCAAACATGGCTGTGTACCTGTTCAAGAGTAATAGGCACCAGGTTTGCCGCATTTCGCAGTTCCTTTTCCGCAATCGCACCTTCACCAGGACAGAATCAAATTAGAATGACACAAGATATAATTAAGTCACCATAAGCACGAGAAGCACACGATAATAGGCACAATACAATACTCAATTCTAACCTGGCGCGGGAATGCTTTGGCTTCTTCCTGGCGGAAGCAGAGCAATCTGATTGACTTAGCTGCATGAGGATCAGAAATGAGGACGAACTCGTTGTTCGTGTTGCTCACAGTGTACACATTCGTGCCGGTGAGTCTCTTCGTCACGTAATCAGTGCTGAGAGCCGGTGGAGGTTGCTGCTGGTTTGCCTGAAAAACTGAGGCGAACAGCGGCGGCGGGTTGAGCCTCCAGGCAGTTGCCGCTGGCGGGGGAAAGAGTGCATAGGGCTCGCGTGGTGTCGCCCAGCACTGTGGCGAGCTCGTTCCCGAGGCGGAGACATTGATGGTGGAGGAAAGAGGAGAAGGATAAGAGAGCGTTTGAGGGTTTAAATTTTAAACGGCTCCATGGAAGAAATTGGAAGGAGCACTGGAGCAGTGAAGAGGAGAAAAATGGGGTTCGTTTAGCCGGAGAAGTCGATAAATTTGTATTCTTTCACGCGCGTCGGTTGGGAATTGCATTTCACGGCTTGATTCAGTATGTAAAAAGTAAAATGAAAAGAAATTTAGCCAATTAGTTGTGTACAGGGGAACCGGCTGCAGGGATGGCAACAAAACCCGAACCCACGGGTACCCACCCGACCCAATACGGTCAATGCGGGTAAAATCCGTGTTGACGGGTTTTGGGCCGGGTTTGGGTTTAAACTCGTTCACTATTCACCGGGTTGGGTTGGGTTTGGGTTTAGGTAAACCCGGCCCGTGGGTACCCGCCCACTCATATAATTAATTTTTTCGGTATATTTAATATTCTAAACAACTATTCTTATTTATGTTTGTGGAGACATGTATAATTTTTTCTTTTTAATTGTGTAGAATGAAGTTGATGTTATGGAGTGGAGACTAAAGAAACTTAATTGAAAGAAAGAAGCTTTCAATTAAACATGTTATTTGTGGATAATTTGTGATTTGCTTCAATTTTCATGAGTTTTCTAGATTGGTGTTGAACAATTTGTATAGTTAATTGGTGATTTGCTTGAATTTTCTAGAATGGTGTTTTATATATGGATAATTTATATTGAGAGATTGATATTTGACTTTAATTTTGATAAGAACTTGTAATTGTAAATTTTTTACGACAAAACCCGTGGGTACCCATGAACCCGCGGATACCCAACGGGTTGGGTTTGAGTTTTTCAAAACCGGTGGGTTTTACCCCGTTTTTTTCAAAGATATACCCATGGGTTTGAGTTTGGGTTTGGCAAAACCCGACCCATTGCCATCCCTAGCTGCAGGGAGAGCCTGCATACCGCCCGGGATGTACTTAAAAAACAGAGTGGATTTGGCTATATCTAATAGAGTATGATTTCTCCGAATTAAAGTACTAAATTGTAATAAACTTGTAAATTGTTTAACACGTTAAATTTGAAATGGCAATGGGCAGGTCCGGGGTGGGTATCTCGATACTCATATCCGATCCATGGAAGGTCGGGTTCAGGTCGGGTAATTTATCACGGAGTACGGATCGGGGCATGTCGACTCATTGGATATGTAATTTATGCGAAAAATATTAGAAACATTCGTTATTTTCATTAAAAGGGCAAGAAAGAAACCATAATATGATAAAATGTAGTTAAATTATGAAAGAAATTGAGGTTTTCACTTATTTACAACTTTATTATAGCTAAAATATAATGTAATAAAAGGAAAATTCTAAGTAATTTGACTTAGATTATATGTAATATAGGCAAGAACGGGTCGAGAATGGGGCGGGTCAGGACAGGTCAGGTCGATGAGAGGTACCCATGCTCGCCCCGCCCCGTAGGCGGGGCGGGTCTGACCTGTCCCAAAACAGGCCAAACAGATCGGGTAAATCAGATCAGGTCGAAATTGCCATCCCTACGTTAAATTGTGACTATCAAATATTCTTTTTATTTTATGAAGAGTGACATCAAATATTCTTAGGCTTCCTACCAAAAAAAAAATGTTCTTAGGCTTAGACGTTTGGGAGTTAGTATAAATATTAAATAGGAATATAAGATATTGTAATATGGATTCAAATATCGAGAATCTCTAGTAGGCGAACGGGTTAAAGACGTGGAATGTGTAGTGGTGTGTGAGGAGGAACCTAGTCTCAAGCAAATTCAACACTCAAATATGTTACCAAACATAGCTACAACGAATTGCTACATGAATTAAAAGATTATGACAAATAAATTAAGATATTGGGTTAATGGTGGTAATAGATTTACCGATTAATGATATAATTGGTTATACCGTTAACCGATCAACAGTTTCTGACAGTAATCAGTCAGTATACTGCCTGTACCGATAAACCGGTATACAGTCGTAGTAGTCGGCGTGTTAACATGATACCGTCATACCGATAGGCTAACCGGCTACAACCACCCATCACTAGATATAATGTGTAAGTAGCTATATATATCAAAATGCAATGTTTCAGTGTAGTGGTTATGTGATATGTTTTTTAGACCAATTCCCACAAGTTGTGGATGGGTTCAATCCTCCACAAATGTTTTTTAGCTGATTTGGAACACTACGACTACGTGTTATTAAGCATACAAGATACACTCATTCAATTTTTTACAGAGTTTTTGTTCTATGCACATTTTTGTGCTATTAAACAATAAATATTTCTATTATTTTTCCTTTAGATCACATATTTGTAAGGGTTGACATGTCCTACCCGGACTTTATAATAAATTACCTGACCTACCATAAGAAGAATATGGGTATAGATATATCCGTTCCGACCGGTCTCATTGTCATTCCTAATTCAATTTACAGAATTTCTTGCGCTATTAAACTATAGATTTTTCCAGAAATCGCACTGTTTAAAAAAAAATCCAAAAATAGCACATAACTCCAAAAATTTCCAAAAGTAGCACCCTTTTTCAAAAACCGCCACCCGAACCAGCGATTTCGACGAAAACCGCACGGGTAGGGGGCGGTTTTGCTGACCGCATGGGGCCGATGCGATTTGGTTGTAAACCGCACCCCCACCCTGCGGTTTATAATATATAATATTTTTCCAAGTAACTTTTATAAGTGGTCTTGGCACAACTGGTTTAATTGTTTATTGTGTGCAAGAAGTCCTGGGTTCGAATCCCCACCATTCCATTTGATTTTTTTTTATTTTTTAGAGATTCAAAAAAAGCAACATGTTGTGGGAGTGGTGGTTCGAACCAAAATAATAAATAGTTTACTAAATTTAGCACAACATCTACACCACTCAACTACAACTCTTCTCTTGAAATTATAATATATTGACAAAGTTTGACTCGTTGAACGCTAAAAATTCTCAATAACTTTAAACAACCATAACTTTGTGCTCCAAAATCCGAACGTCATGAATTTTTTTTCATTTCTCGTAACTTTTTAAGGACTACAATTTTTACTAGGAATGAATTTTCAAAACAAGAATTATTTTTGGATATACAGGGGTTTTGGGAATAGCTTACCTTCCCTTTTCACAAATCCACGTACATTTAGAAATTATTTCTAGGATAAAAGTTGTATTCCTAAAAAAGTTATGCAAAGTGAAAAAAAAAATCATGACGTTCAGATTTCGGAGCACAAAGTTATGGTCGTCCAAAGTTTGACGAAATCGGAAAAAAGCTCGTTCGGGGTAGCAAACGACATTTTTTCGGGACGAAGGCGGGACCAAACCTCCTCGAATACCCGAACACACAAATACGTTCGTTTGAAATGTCCACCAAGGTTAGGATTTTTCAAAAAAAAAAAAAGAAACCAAAACCGCCAGGTTGTGCAGCGGTTTTGGACCGAACCGCACCGGCCCCATGCGGTCAGCAAAACCACCCCCTACCCGTGGCGGTTTCTGTCTAAACCGCTGGTTCGGGTGGCGGTTTTTGGAAAATGGTGCTATTTTTGGAATTTTTCGGGGTTGGGTGCTATTTTTGGAAAAAAAATTAAATAGTGTTATTTCTGGAAAAAAAATCCCATTAAACTAACACAGTTTAATTGTTAAAGTGGTAATAAAATTATACATGGTAAAATTATTTAGATTCAACAAGGTTTGTGATGAAGTTTCCTCTAATTTGGACGCAATATTAAGTAGTTTTAGTGTCAAAGAGCATATTGAACATTATATAGTTTTTCTAAGTATTATTCCAAACGGTTAAAAAAAATTGCCCTCCAATCGTGAATCCTGACTCCGTCCCTGGCTTGTTAAGATGTCGTCTAAGCGTGTATAGGGTTGGAGCCAAAAACAACAACTTATGTTATGGTGCATGATATAAAAATTTATAACACATATTTAATTCAGTTCAATTGATTAATAACCTTATTTAGCCCTAAACATCAAGAAAATATGCTCACTAACTAGTTCATAGAATCAATATAGTCAAAATCGCGCTTTAAAACTTAAAAACTTACGATTTTACGTTTATAGGTCGCTAAAACGCTTCTACACAAAATCTCAGTTTTTATAACTTATGTAGTGAAAAACTCCGTTTTAAAACTTATATTAAAAACTTACGAGTTTACGCTTCTAGATCACTAAAACGTTTCTACGTAGAAACTCGCTTTTGACTACATTGCATAGAATCATAGATGAAGAGCTCAAAAAGTTGTTAAATTGTTAAAAAGATTGAGGTCGAAAATTGAGTTTGTTGGTGATATTTAGGCTTAATTGCAAGTTTGGTCACTCGAATTGCTATAAAATTTCACGTTTTCCACTCAAATTAATTTATTCCATTTATAGTCACTTGAATTAGTTGAATAGTCCAAGTTCAGTCACTCTTCGTAACCCCCGTTAGACTCCGTTAATGACGACCATTAAGTGATGACATGGCTAACGGAAAATCACAGTCAGCATATTTTAATACTAAAAAATGACGACCCGACCCGCCACGTCACATTTACCCGCCATGTCAGATCTTCTTGCCCAACCCGCTATCCAACCCAATTAATTGACCCAACCTCAAACCCGAGACCCGATCCCCTGAAAATTAAATCGAAACAGGAAAGGGTAGGGCACTTTCCCTTCCTCCATCGTCCTCTCATCCTCCCACGCCTCTCATCCTTCTTCTTCGGCGATTTTCGAACAGTTGGGTGAGGAGAAACATCTATCTAGCTAGAAGCAACATCTAGCTAGCTACAGGGGAGGCCATGAAAGGAACTACTACTACTAGCAGCCCTTCATGCCGCTTTGATTCAAGGAACTACTACTACTAGCAGCCCTTCTTCTGCTGCAAATCTCAGATACCTTCCTCCTCCTTCTTCCCCTGCTTCTTCTCGCCCTCTCCCGTAGTTCTCCGCACAAGATTATCCCGTCTTCACTCCGGTCAGTCTTTATTCCGGCTGCAAAAATTTAACCCAGGATAGATTGAATGTTATGTTTAAGTAAAACAAAGTTGGTTCCTTTTTTGTTTTTTTTTCACCATTCCCCTGTAGCTAGAGCCTAGATAGATGTTGCTTCTAAGTTAGAGAAAAAGTTTTGAAATTTCGTATAAAGATTTGATGGGTGGAAGAAAGAACGGCGGAGGCCATGAAAGGAGAAACATAGTACTATTGGGTTGGAGCATGTAGAGAACAACAATTCAACGACTGTATTGGGTTTATCAAGAAATGGGTGAGGAGCAACATCTATCTAGCTAGAAGCAACATCTATCTAGCTAGAAAGTTTTGAACTTTCCCCTTTCATGGCCTCCTCACCCAACTGTTCGAAAATCACCGAAGAAGGAGGATGTGAGGCGCGAGAGGATGAGAGGGCGATGGAGGAAGGGAAAGTACCCTACCCTTTCATGTTTCGATTTAATTTTCAGGGGGTCGGGTCTCGGATTTGGGGTTGGGTCAATTAATTGGGTTGGGTCGCGGGTTGGGCAAGATGAGCTGACATGGCGGGTAAATGTGACGTGGCGGGTCGGGTCGTCGTTTTTAGTGTTAAAATATGCTGACTGTGATTTTCCGTTAGCCACGTCATCACTTAACGGTCGTCATTAACGGAGTCTAACGGAGGTTAACGGAGAGTGATCGAACTTGGACTATTCAACTAATTCGAGTGACTATAAATGAAATAAATTAATTTGAGTGGCAAACGTGAAATTTTATAGCAATTCGAGTGACCAAACTTGCAATTAAGCCGTGATATTTATTATCCCTTTGATATTAACTGTTTAGTTCCATCTAATTATACTTAGAATACCTAGTGTTGCAACCATCCCAAAATGTGGTGTCTACACCTAAGTACTACATTTCTCCGTCGACATATTCTCGTTACCTAACTCATTGCCACACAATGCATTTTGCATTTTGGTGTTACGTACCCTCTGAACGTTTCTGAACGTGAGTTTAAGCACAATCATACTATGGGTTAATTGTATTGTTGGTCACTGAGATTACAAAAAACGTTCATGTTTGGTCACTTGAAATATTTAAATCCAATCTTGGTCACTCAAATTAGTTAAACGGTTCAAATTTGGTTACTCTCCGTTAGGGATGGCAATTTTGCCCATACCCATGGGTATTTTACTATCCAACCCAATTGGGTTGGGTATGAAATCCAAATATATGGATATGGGTAAAGTTTGATGGGTTTGTACCCATACCCATTTACTTTGGGTTGGGTTGAGTTTATAACAAATGGATTTGGGTTTGTACCCATGCCCAAATACAAATTACAGTTTGGTACCTAAACTTAATAGATATGCATATTTAGTACCTAAATTTATTTTTTTTGCATATAAGTCCTCAAAATATCGATAGAAAATTACGTTTTGGTACCTAAATTTTTTTGGTCTTACATTTTGGTACCTAAAATTTTCAAGTTTTACAAATAAGTCCAATTTTTGCATGTGTAGTTAAAACACCTTCAAGTAAATAGATATCCATATCCAACCCATACCCATTTAGATAATATCCATATCTAACCCAAACCTATATACAAACCCCAAACCCATACACACATCACCCAAACCCACCCATAATAAATGGGTCTACTTGGGTTTGGGCAAAATTACCCATGGGTGGGTAAATTGCCATCCCTACTCTCCGTCCAACTCCGTTAAATTTGTTTGATGTGGCAGTCAACCCTCAAAGTTGACCGTTAACTCGGTAACGTGGCAATTAAAAAATAATAAATAAAATAAATTTTAATCTTCTACCATTTCCAACTCATTTTCACAATAAAGTAAAATAAAAAAATAAAAAAATAATTATAATCACAAATTACAGCAGCTTCCAGAATTGAGAAAAGAAACAGAAGAAGAGAGAGAGTCAGAAATTTACCCATTCCAAAAAAAGGGACTGATGATTTCTGATGATTCTGAACCAGATGGCTGTTAATGGCGTGTACTGGAAGAAGAAGAAGAAGTAGCAGGGTAACAGTCAAAACCATTCATGATTTACCCAACCAGGTAACGAGAGCAGCCAGGAATTGAACAGATCCATTTGTCTTTGATATTTTGTTACCCTGTTGTTTGGTTTTGTTGGGTACTGCTGCTTCTGCTGCTATAACTCCATGAACTCCATTCTCTCAGAAGTAGTAGCAGGGGACGAGAGGAAGAAGAAAATAGAGGGGGAAAAAGCAGTGAACTTTATATCCCTGACTTTCCCGACCCTTTTTGCTAGGTAGCTCTGTAAAATTCTCTCCGGCCACTCCAAGCACAACAGAAGGACACACTCACTCACCAGTCATATTCAGGAAGAAAGGAGGAGAGGAGGAGAGGGAGATTTAAATGGAGACATGCGCGGTTTAGGGAGCGATCGAGGGGGAAGAAGGTGAGGTTCGATCCGGAGAGGATCGTGATGGGCGGCGGCGCGACGGGAGCCAACGAGCTCATCACCTTCTTCTGTTGGGATGAATAGCTTTGAAAAGCTATAAATGAAATTCCTAATTAATTATCCAGTATTTTTCCATAATACATAAATAAGATGGATAATTAATAAAAGGAATATTATGGAGATAATTAGGAATAATTATCTTAATAGATTATATTTTAATTATGGGAGTAATTATCTCCCTAATTAATATATGACTTATTCTCAAAGAAAGAGGGAATATTCTGGGTTTTCTGCTCCTATAAATAGGAGACGCCCCAGACCCTCTAAACACACCTCAGAAGAGCAGAAACACGAGTGAGAGTGAATTCATAGAGCTCCGGTTTTTCGCACAAAACCGATGAGCAATAAAATAAGAATGACTGTTTTATCCTGGAGGCGACCGGCTGATAGTCTGCTGTGCGCATTACGAGGCAGTGCCGCGAACGTCTTAAAGAGAGCGACCTAGTCCGCGACTCAGCCAGATTCGGTAACCCTAATTTATCTGTTCGATTTCTAACAATTTTAAGACGGTTCGGTGGCTGTCATAGTATCGAACATGAACCGATTCTGGCTCGCCAGCCCTGACCCGAGACCAGTACGTCTACTTGGCCAAGCTCGCTGAGCAAGCCGAGTGCTACGAGGAGATGAATGGCTCTCCGTCGAGGAGCAGAAACTTCTCTCCGTCGCTTACAAGAACGTGATTGGCTCCCTCCGCGCCGCCTGGCGTATTGTGTCCTCGATCGAGCAGAAAGAGGAAGGCAAGAGGAACGACGAGCTCGTTGTGCTCGTTAAGGAGTACAAGTCCAAAATCGAGACCGAGCTTTCGGCCGTCTGCGCCGGGGTTCTGGCTATTCTCGACTTCAATTTGGTTCCCTCCGCCGCTAGCAGCGAGTCCAAGATCGCCAGATCGGAGCTCGATCGTAGCTCCCTGTCGGTTCGCTAGGGCCTGCATCAAGACCATACATTGTCCGCCGCTCCGAATCGTGAGATCGATGAAGTTTACTTTCCTCGCCAAAGCTATGCTCTCGATCGCGGTCTGGATTCCAGCAAATTGAGTAACCTAAATGTAGGGGAGCTTCAAGGAGCAAGCGATCAAAGCGGGGTTGGCACAGGGCGACATCGTTTGGCTCGGATCCGATTGCCCCTGTTCTTCTTCCTTGGTGGCTCCGCTTTCGCGGTCGATTCTCTCCTGCAGGGATTCGGTGAAGAAGTAGACGAGTCGCTGGGCCGGAGAGCCGGACGGGGACGATAGGAATCGGCACCAGCTGAGGAATTTGATGGATTGGTCGATTTGTTGGGAGGTGAATTTCTGGGCGGAGGCTAAGAGGAGGTGGACGAGCTCGATGTCTTTGATCTTGTCGCCGGAGAGGTTGAAGTGGGAGGCGTCCCTCTGATCGTCGTCTTCCCTTCAATTCCTGGGCCAAGTAAAGAATGCCCGTGGTCCAATTAAATCCCATGGGCCAAGTGCAGTGGGTTTCAATCCACCAGCTTCACCTATTCCTATTGCTGGATCCTTGCGGGTTTATGCGACAAAAAGATAAGTAGAATGGATTACTAATTTGTTGATGAATTCTGCTTTTGTGCCAATTATAGTGGATTTCTTATTTGAATGCACTACTTCTGAATTTAGGAATTGCTCTCAGCTTTTGTGTAAATATGGGGAGGCCTCATGCGCGTATGCTTCTCGAAGCGGTAATGTTACACGAATCATGAGAATGAAGTATTTGTGACAAATTCAGAAGAAAATGACTTCTTGAAAGGAGGTAAGAATTGAACCTTCATTATGAGTCATTAATGAACGACAAATTTCATAGGGTTTTATGCATGTAATTGAATAAGGTTATGAATGCTAGAATGAAAGTTTGAATTGACGCATGATAAGTTGACATTGAGATATATAACGTACCTCGATGATTAGAGCATAAATTGAATACATGCTGTGAAAAGAATGTTTTTGTCTAGATGTGTGCATTGAAGAATATATGGGAATAGAATGGGTTTATTGCCCATAATAACGATATTGTAAGAAGTACTATTATTAGTACTACACGAACCACTTAGGCTGCTCTGAAACGTTAAAGTTTCAAGAATGAGAGCAGCAAGCCGAACCAGATCCATACCAAATAGAATGGTACCCTTTGTGGTAACCATAAGATTGTCACCCAATCCTCTAAGAATGACGTTATGTTTCTCTGTGAGAAACTAGGTCATAAGACACGAAAGTGTAAGAACAAGTTTAACCTAGTGTTAACTTGACTAAAGAAGAGGATTTGGTAATAATATTCACTGAGGTGATGACAGAGGTTAGCCTTAATGGTAACTCTGAAGAATGGTTGTTGGATAGGACCGCTTCAAGATATGTGTGTGATAAACGAGCTAAGCTCAATCATCCATTGACGCGTATTGAAGGAGGAAGTGTTGTTGGGCAAGGCCCTCACCACTATTGTTGATGGTTCTGGAAAAGTGGAAGAGAATCCTGCCTCTAGAAAGTCATTGACTATCCTAGATGTAAGGAATGGTTAAAGATAAATTCTTCCAAGTGTGTCTGTGTGAAGAATTAGAATATCTTATATCGCATTCCCATATTATTATTGGATGCTTGAGAAAAAATATGAATTTTCTATATCCAAGCTAAATGACCCATAAATATGTGATTAGAGAATCAGAATAAATAGATCTGATTTATGTGGGTAAACTTGATGGAAAAGACAATAAACAAATTATTGCTCTTTAGAGTGCTCTGATTGTCTGACTAGTTATTTGAAATGGTTTGAAATGCCTAATTGCATTATGATTGCACTGATTATTCGATATGTGGCATGCATGTGGTAGCGTTAGAAAATCAGTGTAGCATGATAACTAGAAGAGCATATGAGTGTGTTTTATGTTGTTAACAATAAAAACACATAGTTCCTATGAAACGAAATACTCATGTTGTTAATGCCAAGAAACTTCCATTTTAAATCAAGAAATAGTGGGGGTAGTGTCCTGCCTACTATTAGAAATAATGGATAACTAGTGGGGGTGATGAATCTGAGTATGAACTCTGAAGAGACAAATGAACCATAAATCACGAAAGGATTTTGGTTATGAATTTGTTATTTACACCCTAAGAAAGAAAGATCCTACAAGTCTGCTAGAAGTTCGAACTTCCATAAAGATGCAGGATTGTGGGAGAATCCATTATTAACAAAATGGAATTATTGGAGTCTAATAAGACTTAAAATCTTGTAGAGTTACCTCTTGGTTGAAAAGCCTTGGGTAATATATCGATAGAATCGAACAAGATTTGGCATCTTTGAGAATTACCTCTTGGGAATGAAGTCATGGGTAATAAATGGATTCTTAAAAGAAAAGTGAAACCTATTGGTTTAGTTTATGAGTATAAGGATCGCCTAATAGCTAAGGCTTTAAGCGAAAAGGAAAAATTGTAAATTTTCTTGTTATCTATTTACCATATGTTGAATAACATCCATGTATGTTCTGATTGCTAGTGTTGTGCGTCAGATGGATTGTTAAACAAGTTTCTGTGAATGGTGATTTAGATAGGAAAATCTACATGGGACAACCTATAGGGTTGTTATTCCTGAACATGCTTAGGCAGTCTATAGTTAGACAAATCATTGTAAGATTTGAAATAGACTCTAAAACGATGGCATGAATAAGTTGGTTCTCTCTCATGGTTTTAAAAGTGAAAGTGACAAGTGCATTTAGTACAAATTTGAGAATGACACTTGCATTATGAATGACACTTCGATCTTTGGTACAAAGACTCGTGATGTCAATATTATGAAAAACCATGTTGTTTGAGAATTATGAAGGTAAAAAGATCTGGATGAAGCAAGTGTTATGCTCGAAGATCCAGATTACTAGGATAATGAAAGAGATTTTATCTAGATCAGTTTAACTACAAAGTAGATCTAGAGGAAATACGAGTTCTACACCTGCATAAATGTTTGATGGTGCTAGTATAATTTTTAAGAGCACCAAAGACGGTGTAAGAAAGTAAGAACATACTAGCATCGACAGTCTGCGTGAGGCAGCTGGTAAACATGAGACCCGACATAGTGGGGGTACTTGGCAGGCTTACTGATTGTCCTAGTATGAAGCATTGAAATGCTATTGAAAGGGGTCGTGAGACACCTTAAAGGAACAGAAAAACCTTGGTATTTGTTATCAAAGGTTTTGCTGTATTGGTAGGGTATAGTGATGCGGATTAGAATACCCTATAGAGGACCCCAAGACAACAAGAGGATGTGTTTTAAACATCGATAGAGAAGCTATGTCTTGGAAGTCTAAAAAGTAAACGATCCTCGCTCAATCAACTAAGAAATCAGAAATGATAGAACTAGCAATGGCTAGTAAAGAGGAAAGTTGATTGAGAGGGTCATTACTAGTGATTCCCTTATGGGAAAGACCGATCCCTCCGGTAGATGATTCATTGTGATAGCACCGCAGCTATTACTAAAGAAGGGAACCGGTTCTAGAACGAAAAGAGACGACAAATTCGTCGTAAGCACAGTACTGTAAGAGAACTCCTAACGATAGGAGCAATGAGGGTGGATCCTGTAAGATCCTAACATAATCTAGTTGATCCTTTGACGAAAGGATTACCTAGAGAGAAAGTCCAAAATACCACGAAGGGTATGAGACTTATGCCTACCGAACCATGGATTACAAGTGATGGTAACCCGACCCGATAGACTGGAGATCCCAAGAAACGGGTTCAATGGGTAATAACAAGTCATGAGTAATATTGAGAAAAGTTCATGCATAGTGAAGCATGAATCCCAAAGCCTTGGAGGTTGAGTTAAACTCTTAATGAGATCTATACTCTATGTGGAGTGAAGTACTTTACTTTGGGGGTACTTCTGATAGACTCACCTATGTGAATGTGGGAGTGGGGCCGCTCCCTATGGAACTTTGGAGGCACAAAGTTGCTAGAGCGTTCACTAAACCGGGATAACGTGCATGGCCATAAACGCACGGCCTATGAGAGAATATCACTCAATGAAAAGATCCGGTGTGCTACATTGTCTGAGATAGGGTTCAAGACTACGAGTCACCCTTATGAAATCGGAAGTGTAACCACTACGCTAAGGTTCAAATCTTCGCGATACCTTAGTTTATGCCCGATCTTATGGATCTGTTGATGCTCAGAGATAGTTTCAAAACTATTCAAGTGGGGGATTGTTGGGATGAATAGCTTTGAAAAGCTATAAATGAAATTCCTAATTAATTATCCAGTATTTTCCCATAATACATAAATAAGATGGATAATTAATAAAAGGAATATTATGGAGATAATTAGAAATAATTATCTTAATAGATTATATTTTAATTATGGGAGTAATTATCTCCCTAATTAAAATATGACTTATTCCCAAAGAAAGAGGGAATATTCTGGGTTTTCTGCTCCTATAAATAGGAGACGCCCCAGACCCTCTAAACACACCTCAGAAGAGCAGAAACACGAGTGAGAGTGAATTCATAGAGCTCCTGTTTTTCGCACAAAACCGATGAGCAATAAAATAAGAATGGCTGTTTTATCCTGGAGGCGACCGGCTGATAGTCTGCTGTGCGCATTACGAGGCAGTGCCGCGAACGTCTTAAAGAGAGCGACCTAGTCCGCGACTCAGCCAGATTCGGTAACCCTAATTTATCTGTTCGATTTCTAACAATTTTAAGACGGTTCGGTGGCTGTCATAGTATCGAACAGGAACCGATTCTGGCTCGCCAGCCATGACCCGAGACCAGTACGTCTACTTGGCCAAGCCCTGACCCGAGACATGAACGTTTTTTTGTAATCTCAGCTGAGGAATTTGTTGAATATATGTATTGTGCACAATACAATGTTTGGAAGTGCCAAAGTGTTAAACAATGCATGCATTGTTTTAGGTAGGTCCCACCAACAATCACAAAAAATGATGCATTATACAATCT